GCGGAAAGCACTGGTCCTGGTCATATGTGCTTGCGGAGCACCGACGGGACACAGAGCATTCAGCCCCTGATCCTCCGGGGAGGCAAAGGGTGGAGGGTGAAAAGCGGATAGCTCCAAAACCTCCGAAGTGAACGCAGGGAAGCATTTCGGCATGACGGCCGGGTTAGGCTTAAGGAAAACCTTATCTCCACTTAGGGAGAATTTGGCGCACGAGGGGTGAACCGAGAGTGCATGTAGCTCACTGACCCGTTTAGCAGATGCCAAGGCCGAGAGCAAAGCTGTCTTGAGGGACAGCAGCTTAAGGGAAATACTCCCCAGAGGCTCAAAAGGATACAGAGACCGCGCTTCCAGCACCATGGAGAGGTCCCACTCTGGAACAGATCTCCTGATGACCGGCAAAGAGCGGCGTGCACCCTCCATAAATCTGCGGGTTAGAGGGTGCTGCCTGACAGTGGAGCCCTCAAAACCCACATGACAGGCTGAAATCGCAGCCAGGTAGACCTTAATAGTGGAAAAGGACCTGCCTCTTTCCATGAGGTCTTGGAGGAAACACAAAATATCAGGCACCGAGCACTGATAAGATGTGAAACCACGCCCATCATACCACCCTTCGAACACTTGCCACTTACAGCCATATTGGGATCGGGTGGAAACGGCCCTGGCATTCTGAGTAGTGGCGATTACACGCGGCGGGAGCCCCAGTGCATTTAGGTTCGTCCTCTCACGGGCCAGGCCCAGAGAGCCACCCTGTCCGGGTGGGGGTGGTAAATCTCCCAGTTGGCTTGGGACAGTATGTCCGTGCGAGGGGGGAGGCGCCATGGCTCGGCGTATAACAGAGGGATTTTCTCTGCCAGCCACGGGGGCTTTGGGCCACCTGGGTGCTATCAGAATGAGAGACAGGCCATGCTCTCTCACCCTGGCCAGAGTGAAAATTATCAGGCACAGGGGAGGAAAAGCATACAGCAGCACTTTGGGCCATGGGCCCAGCTGGTTCATTTGTGATGCACATGCAGGGGTTCGGAGGGATTTCCTCTCTCTGCAGTGAGAAGTTTTCTCTGCGGAGAGAGGTCTTCTCTCCAAAACGAATTCATTTGATTCGTAGCTTTGTGTGTTTTGTGTTGGGCAAACACTGGGGCTGAAGCCTTTATTGACAGAGTGAGGGGAACATAGTGTGGTGTCCACTGTGCTGAACTTTCCCTCACATGGTGCCCCCAAAAGTGGGGAAAAACACATATCTCCTGAACACATGAACTGGGCAGTCTCAAGTGCAGGCAGAAAAATAATATCCGCGGAGAGAGATACTCTCTCTGTAACGGATTTTTTTTTTTTTTTAGTGTTATTTAGTTATGTGTGTGTTTTGTGTTGGGGAACACAGGGGCCTTCCACACACAACGTCCACTAAAAACACATGGGCTGGACAGCCCCAACGGAGCTGTGTGAGCCCAGCTGGTTGATTTGTGAGGCAATGGCGCCCTCTTGTGGACGAACTCAGGGCGACATGCAACGCAACGCTGGAAAAAACGTTTTTAAGAGTTGTTTCCTCAGACTGGGCGGTGGTCCCAGCGTTTACCCGTCGTAAATATTCCTATCCTGGTCGGTGGCGCTCTGTGGAGCTGGCCACACAATGTTGAGACGAACGGCCGCTCGCTCACAAACTTCCAGGAGGATGGACTGAGGCAAAGCCGCGTGAGCGCTAGCCTAGGGAACGCTAAAAGGACCGACCGGTTCGTCAACGAGAGTGAGGTTTTCCCGCGAAGAAGTCCTCTTCAGGGAATGCGGATTGGGCTGATGTCAGCTCAAATATTTTAGAGAGGTGGCGCTCCGGGAGTCCCCAGGTAGCGCGTCATCATCACCGTGTCTCCCCTCCGAGTCAGAAAGGCCAAGCACGGCGCGCTGGGTCGTGCAACTAAAAGCCGGCTTAGTAAAAGCTACATGGGCAGCAATTCCAATGACCGCAATTCTCCGGGTTCTCCAAAGCTTCTTGAGCGTGTTAAGCCCAAGCAGACCGCGCAGAACGAGAGGGTCCTTAGCGGCGATGAGAGCACCACACGCGGCCGGGCAGGCTCGTCGTGATAGGCTGTTCCCCGGGGGAAGCGGCTGTTTAGACGGTCACATAGCCATGGGTGGGCCAGCGGTGAAGAACTCGGAAAAATCCGTGGCGGGCAGCCATGAAAAGGAGGAGCAGGTGAAGGACAGCGAGAGCTCGGGCGGCTCCGGATGCAAAAAACACAGCGGATAGGCTGAAGAAACGACTGTCACTCACGTCTGGCGGAGGCTGATCTGGCGATATGTCCTCCTGAAGACTCGAAAGTGAGCAGCGTAACGTTAATCCAACCGAACTGTGTCAATGCAGAGATCGCGAGAAGCGAATGTCAACTGAGGAATAGCAGCGCGCCCAGCTGTGATATGCCCGTAGGTAAGGGGGTGTGGCCTCACCTGGCATTGGCTGCGCGCTTCTGTCTGTTAGCCAGACTTGGTGCAATTGGATGCTTCTGCAGAG